CAGGCGGGTCTCGAACTCGTGGGCTCAGGCCATCCACTCACCTCAGCCTCCCAAAGAATTGGGATTACAGGCTGAGCCACCGAGCCCGGCTCACTTGCAGCCTTTATATGTGCTGAAGCTGAGGTCTTTCAACCAGTTAAGAGGTAAGGTTTTTTGTTTTTTTTTAATTTTTATTTGGAGTCTCACTCTGCCACTCACGCTGTTGTGTAGTGGCACGCTCACGGCCCCCGCAGCCTCGACCTGCTGGGCACAGGGGATCCTTCCACCTCAGCCTTCCAAGTAGCGGGAACTACAAGTGCATCACCATGCTTGACTAATTTTTTTGCTTTATTGTTGAGATGAGGTCTCACCAAGTGGCCCACGCTGGTCTCAAACCCCTGGGATCAGGCAATCCTCTCGCCTCCGCCTCCCAAAGTGCTGGGGTGACAAGCGTGAGCCGCCACGCCTGACCAACATTGTGTCTTCTTGTTTCTCCCTGCCTGTCTCCTATTAGAATTCAGTCAGACAAGATCATTCTTATAATGCTAGCTTTCATATTTTCCATCCATTTATTCTGCATTCTGTGTAATTTCTTCACAGCTTCCAGTTGGCCAGTCCTCTTTTCAGCTATATCTAATTAGTTCAGTTTTAACCTCTGTAGCAGGTTGAATAGTGGCCCCCCAAAAAGATATGAGGAAGAACCCCCAAAAAACCAGAATTACTTTTTGGAGGGTGGGCCCTTGTAGTACAGGCATCCCCCATCAGATTCAGCGTACCAGCTGGCATTGTTGTGGGAGGCTGCGTTTGGCTTCAGTGAAATTTTTCTTGGAGATGCTTTCAACACATTTACCCACTTCACGATGGGTGATTTATACAAACCACCTGCCCACACTGCACTGGGTGTTCAGCAGTTTTCGACCAAAAAGAGCATGACGCCCATGCCCCACCCTCCTATTCACCCAATCTCACCCCAAGCGACTTGTTTTTGTCTCCCTGATGAAAACAGTTCTCAACAGGAAATATTTTGCCAATGTGGAAGAGGTGAAACAAAACATGGCAGAAGCACTAAAAGGCATCAAAATTGACGAGTTCAAAAACTGTTTTGAGCAGTGGGAAAAGCATCTTGATGGGTGCATTGTGTCAAACAGAAAGCACATTGAAGGTGACTAAAGTTTAAACATATAAGAAGAAATACATAGGCTGGGTGTGGTGGGTCACACCTGTAATCCCAGCACTTTGGGAGCTAAGGTGAGAGGATTGCCTGAGCCCATGGGTTTGAGACCAGCCCGGGCAACTTGGCGAGAACTCATCTACAAAAAATCAAGAAAAATTAACTGGGTGTGATGGCACATGCCTGTAGTTCCAGCTACTTGGAAGGCTGAGGCAGAAGGATCACATGAGCCCTGCTAATAGAGGCTGTGGTGGCAGTGAGTATGCCACTGCAATCCAGCCTGGGTGACAGAGCAGGACTCTGGCTCAAAAAAAAGAATAAATACACATTTTTAAATTAATAAATTCTTTTTGAGGGGAGGTCCCCCTTCATATGCCCAAGTCCTAATCTCTAGAACCTTATTTGGAAAAAGAGTCTTTGCAGATGTAGTTAAGTGAAGAATTTCAGCATGAGATAATCCTGGACTTAGGGTGGGCCCTAAATCCCAAGACAGACATCCTTATGAGAGAGAGAGGGAGACAGAGAGAAGAGAAGCCCACGTGAAGACAGGGGCAGAGATTGGGGCGATGTAGCTACAAGCCAAGGGACGCCTAGAGCTCCCAGAAGCTTGACGAGAGAGCTCTGCAGTTTTGGACTTCTGTCCTCCACCATGTTGGAGGATGAGTTTCTGTGATTTTAAGCCACCAGTTTGTGGCAATTTGGGAGGGTAGCCCTTGGGAAATAATATAATATCCAATGCTTTTTTTTTTTTTTTGAGTCGGAGTCTCCATCTGGCTGTTTCCAATCTCTGGGTGGGAGTGCGGTGGCACACTCCTGGCCACCGCAGCCTCAACCTGCAGGGCTCAGGCAATCCTTCTGCTTCAGCTTCCAAGTAGCTGGAACTACAAGTGCATGCCACCACGCCTAGATAATTTTTTTGAACAAACTTTTAATTTTCTAATAACTTTAGGTTTGTGGAAATGTTGCAAAGATAGAACAGACCTCTCATCCAGCCTCCCTAAGTTTACATTTTACATTTCCATGGTACATCTGTCACAACTAAGGACTCAACATCAGCCCACTGCTAGAAACTAAACACTAGTCGGTAGCTGGATTCCACCAGCTTTTTCCACAGATATCCTTTCCTGCATGTAGTTATCACACCTCCGTAGTCTCCTCTGACCTGGGACTGTCTCTCAGTCTTTGTTTTCTATGACCTCAGCAGCTTGGAAGTGTCCTGAACCATCTGATGCATCCCTACAGCCTGTCCTGTTTTATACCTTGCTGCACTAACTCTGACCATCTGTGGAAGATCAAATTCTACTGGTGGTGCCCGTGGGGCTGAAGGTAGTAGGGGTCTCCCTGGTATGCTCTGTCCCTTCTGTGTGGACACATCCTAGTGGAAATGCTCTTGTGCCGGGCTGGGATGGCCAGGCTGCACCCCACGTTCTCTCTAGACATGGGAGAAACAGCCAGATACCGGCAGAGCCAGGAGATCTGGTCTGCTCTTGTCTTGGGCTCTGCATGTACAAAGCTATTTCCACTGTGACCTCACTGTCCTATGGTAAGAGGACCTTTTTTTTTTTTTTTTAGTTGGAGTCTCACTCCATTGCCATGCAGTGGCACATTCATGGCCACCCCCCATGATCCTTCGTGGCTCCGGCGATCCTTCCGCCTCAGCCTTCCAAGTAGACAGAATTACAGGCATGTGCTACCATGCCTGGCTAATTTTTTGATTTATTGTAGATCAAAAACTTGGGACCTTGCCAAGTTCTTGAACCCGTGGGCTCAGGAAATCTTCTCACCTCAGCCTCCCAAAGTGCTGGGATTACAGGCTTGAGCCACTGCACCTGGTCAAGAGAACCTCTTAGACATTTACATTCAGCCAACAGGTGCCCCAATCTCTTTAGTCACTGTGGCCTCCAGAAGCCTCCTTGATGGGACCTTGTTGGTCTCTCTGCAGAATTCCCAACTCTCACTCAAGGGACAGCTACCATTCAAAACCCCCAAAGGAAGCTCCCAACGCCCCCCTCCACCAGCGCACATGCCATGCTCCAATCCCATCTTGGTAAACAGCAGCTTGAGCCAAAAGCCTTGAGTTGTCTTTGATTCTTTTATTTCTGTTCCACCTTCACCCAAAGCAAGTCTGGCACGGTTCTCCCTTCCACACAGAGGTGGGATCTGGGCACACAGCTCAGCCTGGCCACAGCCCCAGACTTGTTAAATCTCGGCATCTTCCCACCTGCCATTCTGACCCACCTTGTCAGGCTCTGAGCCCACAGCTTCTCTGAACCATCACACACAGGTCACTGATGCCCACCGCCCCCACAGCCAAGTCAAAAGACCCGGCGGGTCAGCACCTTCCGCAGCCTCCTGCCTTGGCTCCTGTTCAAACACTCCTCACGCTGCCTCTGGGGCGCCGCACACCCCGGACCCTGCTTGTTTTCCAAAGCTGCCTCCAATCACTCCCAGGCCCGGGGCTCCGGACACCGTTGGCTCTCACCCAGGGCTGGTGAGCTCATGGCCTCTACTGCACCTCTCCTTCCCCAGGACTTGCTCTGGGTCAGACTGGGTCCAAGCTTCCAGCCACATCACCTGCCTGGCTGACAGGCAGGCTGCCCGGCCAGACTCTGAGGCCAGGACATCCCTCGTCACTCTGCACCTCTGCTGCAACCTGCTCTGGGGGGACGTGGGTCGGAGGTCGTCACCCGGCCTGGCCAGCGGCTACGTCTCGGGACCCACAGGGGCCTGGCTCGCTGCTGGGCCTGGCCCTCCCTGTCCCTGCCACCACTCTGCCCTCCTGCACCTTGCCCTCCCCTCCTCGCTCTCTGTCCTTCGGAGCAGGCAACTCTGCTTCTATCACAGTCTCTGTTTTGGAGGCTCCAGGGAGCGGCGTCCGCATCGGCCTCGTCCGCTGCTGGGTCTCCGGGGCCTGCCCAGTGTGCTCGGGCGACATGGCAAAAGGAACGAACACGGGGCGGCAGCCCCTCCACACTCACTCAGCTTTGCTGGGCTCGGGGCTCTGGATCTCTGGCGCGTCGTACTCCCGCAGGTCCTTCAGCTCGCGCATCTGGCCTGTCAGCACCTTGGCGGCGAACGCCACGATGTACTGCAGGAAGGAGGCTCGAGTAAGACGGAAGCCCCTTCCTCAGCTGTGTGGCCCTCCTGACCGCCGGGCGGGGACCCTGCCCAGGCCCTTTGCACGTGCTGTCCCCGCTGCCTGACACGCCCCTCCCTGAGCCCGCCCGGGGAGGGCTGTGCCTGGACTGCTCCCTGGGGACAGGATGGCCTGCTGATGGGAGGGGGAGGAGGAGAGGGAGGAGCGGCCAGCCACTCACCAGGAACCAGTAGAGGTTCATGAGGGTGAGCAGCAGCAGGAGTGCATTGAAGAAGAAGTAGAAGGGGATGTCAGGCACTGCGCGCAGGCTGCAGTGGCTTGTGGCATACAGGACCTTGAGCGGGAACCAGTAGAGGCGGAACCAGAACCTGCAGGAGGAGGAGCAGGGAGGCCGTGAGGGGGAGGGGATGGCGGCCCCACCCAGTCCCTGTCCTGTCCCATCCTGGACCCATCCGCCTGTCCCTGTGCGTCCAGGCCCATCCCTGTCTCCCTGCACCACCCTCACCTTGCCCTGCCCCTCTGCTCCGCTCCGACCCGGCCTCCCCGCCAGCCCGCCTTTCCCCACTCAGGCCCTCCCCGGCCCCGCCACGCCCCGCCCACCGCACCAAGGCCCACCTTCTCCCCTGCCTCGCCCCGCCCCCGCCCGGCCAGGCCCCACCCACCGCACCAAGGCCCACCTTCTTCCCTGCCAGACCCCGCCCAGCTCCCAGGCCCCACCTCTTTTCCGCCAGACCCCGCCCACCTCTCCGGCCCCGCCCCGGCCCGCCCGGCCCCGCCCCTTCCCCCACCAGCAGAAGCCGAAGCTGAGGCAGCCCAGGTCGGCCACCAGGGCGTGCAGCCGGTGGTAGGAGCCGCCGCGGGACTGGAAGTAGATGTTGAGCTTGGTGAACTCGAGCTGCACGTCGCTGATATCGTGCAGGAAGAGCACGAGGATGCCCACGTTGTGGTACCTGAGGGGGCAGAACGGGGGAGGAGAGGGTGGCTCACCCTGGGGACCCCACTCTGCACTAAGACCCCCAGCACAGGCCCCTGGGCCGACCTCCAGGCTCTCCGTGGGCCCCTTTAAAGCCCTCCGCCCTGGGCACCAGCCCTGCCCACCTCCCTGTCCCAGGAGCCCCTTTCTTCCCTGGCCCCACTCCCTGTGCCCACCCCAGAGCCTCCCCACCCGGGCCCCGCCTTCCCCACCCCACTGTGCCCGCGTGGCCCAGAATCTCCCCGGAAGTTCCTCCTCCGGCCCCTCCTCATCTGGGTGGGGCTGGGCCATCCCGGTCCAGACCCCCCACGAGCTCACTCCTCACTCTGGGCGTCACCGACACGCTGACACTCCCAGGTGAACGTTAGCCCGAATGTCCACGCGAGGGGCAGGCTTGCCTAGGAGAGGCTTCTGCCATATTCCCGCTAGGATCTCAAAACGCCTGAAGGCCATCCCCCCGTCCTCCCCAGCGTCTCCTCCCAACAGCTGCCTGGGAAAGGGACTGGGATTCAGCCTGGACATGGCCAAGTGTCTCTCCCCCCAGGTCCCTGTCCCCGCTCTGCCCTCCTGACAGTGCCTGGGCACCGGCCACAGGCCCTTTGCATGTTCTGTGCCCATCACCGGACCTGCCCCTCCCAGCAGCCCTTCCAGTCCTTGCTCACTGCCACCTCCGACCACCCTCCCAGACCTAGGCCTAGCAGCCCTTAGGCCGTATCCTCTCACTTCTTGGTTTTTCTCCATAGCTATTTCCTTTTTTTTGGAGATGGAGTCTTGTAATTTTGCATAGGGTGGTCTCGAACTCTTGGGCTCAAGTGATCCTTGTCTCAGCCTCTCCAGTTGCTGGGATTACAGGCACGAGCCACCGGGCCTGGTTATTCCTTCCTGGCGCTTATCACTTTTCAAACAAGCTCCCCTTTCCTTTCCTTTCTTACTTTTTTGGTTTTATCATCTGGTCCTACCCTCTAGAGAGTCCTGCCTAACAAAATGTTCTGGAACCCTGGGCATGTCTGTACTGTCCGCTACTGGAGCCATCAGCCCCATGTGGACACTGAGCAGTTGAAACGAGAGCCACCCGGGGCTGCCGCCTCCACGCTGGTGCAGCTAGTCTTGACAGAACAGAATGCGAATGGCATATGTCATTTTAAAGTTTCTATCAGCCACATTTCACAGGGGGGAAAAAGGGGGGCGGGTGCAGTGGCTTACTCTTGTAATCCCAGCACTCTGGGAGGCCAAGAGGGAAGGATCACTTGAGGCCAGGAGTTTGAGACCAGCCTGGGCCACAAAGGAAGACACTGTCTCTATTTAAATAAAAAAATTAGCCAGGCGTGGTGGCATGCGCCCACAGCCTCAGCTATTTGGGAGGCTGAGGTGGGAGGATCACCTGCACCCACAAGGTCGAGGCTGCAGTAAGCTGGGATTGTGCCATTCGCACTCCAGCCTGGGCGACAGAGCGAGACTCCGACTCATAAAAAAATAAATAAATGGAAAGCAGAATCTCAATGAAGGCAGAAAATCTGTATTTAAAATAAATAAAGCACACTAATTAACTCGGTGGACACCAAATATCATCCCTTCGGTATAAAACGAGAACAAAGGATGCACGAGGTGTTTCCACTTATCCGTGTAGGGAGCCTTCGAGACGGGGGTGGACTTTACACACATGGGGCGTGGAGGCTTGGCGGGCCCCATCCAAAACGCCCACCGCACTGGCCTCCAGAGAATCAGGGTGCGCTCACAGCTGCATCCCCCACCCGCTCACCTCAGCCCTCCAAAATCTCCCTCTGGATGCCAGGGTCACACAGCCCCTCCTTGGGCTTCCTCTCTCTGCCCAACGCCTCCCCGGACCCCAAGCACCCAGACCTGATGTGAGGCTCCCCATGGCCCCCTCTGGGCCTGGCCCGGCGACAGCGGCCCCCACTGGCTCCTGTCCTCACCGGAAGGCATAGGAGGCGACGATGAGGACCAGGGTGACCACATGGTGGACGAGCATGACCACTGAGTCCTTGCGCCAGGTGTCCATGTACAGCGTGGCGTAGATGGAGTGGCCATAGAAGCTTCCCTGGAGCAGGTAGGCGGCAGCGATGTCCCGTGGCACCGCCGTGCCTGGTGTCCAGTCTGCAGAGGGCCCAACCACGGGGTCAGGGGCCTGCAGGCACCCCCCGTGGCCCCCCCCCCAAGCCGTGTGTGTCCTCAGCACCAGGGTGGCCCCACGTCTCGGCTGGTTTTCCATTCTCAACACGCTACCCACTATTTTTCATTAATAGGTGTTTTGCTTTTTTCCAGAGCAGTTTTGGATTTCTAGAAAAATCAGATAAGACACAGAGTTCCTATGCCCCTCCACCCCCAACACACTCACAGTCTCCTGTGAATACGCACATTATTATTAAATAACCCCTGGCCAGGCGTGGTGGCTCACACCTGTGATCCCAGCACTCTGGGAGGCTGAGGCGGGGGACTGCTTGAGCCCAGGAGTTTGAGACCAGCCTGGGCAACATCTTGAGACCCCCATCTCTACACAAGCATTTTTTAAAAATTAGCCTGGCGTTCCATCCTCCTCCTCCTCTCTCACACCCACCTTTGGCTTGGCGGCAAATCCCATCAGTGCCACCGTCTAAACTGTTCTCAAATCAGCCACGTCTGCCTCGTCCTGGTGCAGTCCCTCTCCACCCCAGGCCCTCTGCTCACAGCCATCACGTAAGCAACGAGTTCTGACCCAGCAAGGCCAGGAGGGCACAGTCTCTGCTGTCCCCCCCGCCCGGTGACCACAGTGGGCCCCTGGACAGCAGCCTTGGAGCCTCCTGCCTGCCCCAGACTCCTCCAGGTCCTCACGGAGTCCCCTTCAGTGGGACTGCCCTGTCCCGGCTGAAAACTGTCCCTCCGACATCCCACGTCCCTCCTCTTTCCACCCGAGCTTTCTCATCAGCCCTTACTGCCGTGGACCAAATCCCACAGGGATGTCCAGCATCCCCTGGTACACGGTGGGTGCTCAATAAAAGCACAGCAAAAGCCGAGCTCGGTGGCTCAGCCTGTAATCCCACCGCTTTGGGAGGCCGAGGTGAGTGGATTGCCTGAGCCCGCGGGTTCGAGACCTGCCTGGGCAGCGAGTCCTCATCTCTACAATAAATCAAAAAATCAGCCGGGCGTGGTAGCGTGCGCCTGTAATTCCCGCTACTCAGAAGGCTGAGGTGGGAGGATCGCCGGAGCCCAGCAGGCGAGGCTGCGGTGGCCGGGAGCGGCCACTGCACCCCAGTCTGGGCGACGGAGTGAGACTCCAACTCAAAAACAAACAAACAAACAAAAAACCAGTAAATGAGACGCTAACTTACAGGCATCGTTTACAAGAAGAAACTACATGCAGCCCCATGCCCAAAACATTCAGAGAGGTCAGTGACGGGTCAGCCGCATAAAAGGAGGCCAGGCGCAACTCACACTCCTCTCTGGGGAGGCGCAGTGTGTGGTGGAGGAAAAGTCGCCCTGCAAGCAGCACACCTGGGATACGCCCCCGGGCTCAGTGCCACCAGGAGCCCTCTCAAGCTGTTCCTGTCACGGCAGGAGACGCTGTTTGTGGGCGTCCTTGACCCATGGCCCAGGTGGTCAGCACAGAACAGGGAAGCCAGAGCCTTCCCCCAGCGGATGGGACTTCCTATCCCAAGACGACCTTGGCCGAGGCCAGCCCTGCCCCGGCTCCTCTGAGGGCAGGTTCTACAGAGCATGGTACGGTCCCCTCCCTGCCGGTCCCACCCAGCGCTCAGGCCTCCATGACCCTATGTCACGTCCAGTCAAACAGCTGCAGTCACATCCCAGCATCTTCATCTCCTTGCTAAGATGATGTGAGCCAGGGACCCCCCCTTCTCTGTGCTGTAGCCGAGGAAGCATTTTCTCACCCACAAAACCTAAACCCATCTAACTCAGAAGGAAACTCAAACTCCTGCCTCAGCTTTCAGCAGCCATTCTCCTCCTGTTCCCTCGTAAGTGCCCCAGGGCCTTTGCATGTGCCATCCCAGCACCTGGAATGCCTTCTTGGCACCCAGAATGCCCTCCTGGGCCACAGGGGTTACCTCCTCCAGAAAGCCTCCTCTGAGCTCCAATAGGACTAGGTGCCCTCACCCATGTCTTGGGGTTGGCTTGACTTCTGAGACATCCACGGGGCCTCTGATCAATGTCCGGCCCTGTGTGTTCACTGCAGCCTTGAAGTCCTGGGCTTGAGTGACTGTGCCCCGCTAATTTTTAATTTTTTGTAGAGATGGGGTCTTGCGACATTACCCAGGCTGGTCTCGAACTCCTGGGCTCAAGCGAGCCTCCACCTCAGCCTCCCGAGTAGCTGGGATCATAGGTGGGCACCCTGCCTGGCTTCTCTGTGTTTTACGTAGAGCCCTCTGCCATCCTTGCAGGGCCCCTACCGTAGAAGACAGAGGGCGGGTCGTGGAAGAAGGGATAGTCCGTGCCGAACAGCAGGTACACACTGTAACTCCAGGAGCCCAGGTAGAAGAGAAACTTCCAGGCGCTCTCGGGCATCTTGGCGGCATCTCGAGGCTGCAGGCGGCACCGCTTGGCTAGGGGCTGTGGCGAGAAGGCAAGTGGGCAACCCTGGGGGCTGAGGGCCAGGGACTGCTCCTCCAGGGCGGGGAGACGAGGCCCAGGGACTCTGCAGCCCAGCAGCACCGAGGAGGGCCGGCCCGGGGCCCACAGCCGCCTGGACCGTCACCAGAGCCCACGTGCGTCTGCCAAGGGCTAAACTTAGTGCCCAGCTGTCGGGCGGGGTGGCGCTGGGGAGGGGGTGTGGGATGAGACCGCGAGTGGAGCAGGGCGGCCGTGGGGGAGGGGTGAACGGTGGGGTCAGCTCAGGGGAGCGGGGCGCTTGCGAGTCACGGGGGAGCTGGGGGTCTGCGGGCATTCAAGAGCACAAGTGGGGTGACCTGTGAGGGAACGGGCGTGTGGGGGGCACGGGGGATCCCCACGGGAAGCACAAGAGGCGGAGGGAGAAACAGAGGGGAGGCGGTCACCCTCAGAGGGGAAACGTGGGGAGACGGGGG